TATAGTACAACTTTTCAACATTACAACTACCTTGAGCTAATTAGAAGTTAGCCAAAAATCTCAAATGGGTTAAAAGATACAAAATTTGATTAAATGAGCTTTATTGCTCTAATTAAGATAACCATTGAGTTCAATTAAACGAAATTTTTAACAAAAGGAACAAAATTGATTTGAATTTAAGATGAGACGAGAAAACTTAGTAACTACTACTTACCCATTAAAGCTTCTGAACCAAGACCAGTACCAGATCCAATAAATCGGCGAAGGTTTCGAACCCATAACATAGATGAAGCTGGTGGAATCTTTCTCTGTTGTGTTTCATGCCCTTCTCCATCACTTGACCCACTATACATACTAACTTACTTACTTACGTTTCGTTCTTCTTCTTCTTCTTCTTCTCTTAGAACAAATTTCAACATGCGAAATGTGAACTAAACAAATTTGTTCTATAGAAATGTCGACATTTTAATGGTGAGAAAGCCCTAATTTCTTTGATTCAAAGGAGTTTGGAGAGACGAAGAAGGGAAATGCAGAACTTTTTTAAACAAACGATTAAACGAATTGGGAATTGTAGCTGTTTTGGGCCGAGGGCATTTTAGTTTACTATGCGTTCACGGGCTTTAGTTGTAGTCCATTATGAATGAGAATATAGGTCCATTACGATAACGGATAGAGGTCCACTATGAATGCGATTAATGGGTTTTAGGCCCAATATTTGGTGCAACAAATATGAATCAATCACCAGTCACCACGTGTCCTATTATGTGCCATCACTAGCGTACAAGAGAAGCCCCTTCGAACTGTAACAATCAAAATCCCTAAAAAACCACCCAAAACAGGCGCGAAAATGAACTCATAAGGAAAAATTAAACAATCAAATCTCAAAAATTTCTCCAAAAAATGGAGAATTTGCAATCAGATTCAAACATGTTTAGTGTTCGAATTGTTTCAATTGATTACTACATGTCTTCTCCAATTCCAGATTTCGATATTTGTTACAGTAGTTTTCAAGGTATAACTAACAACAATCTCATCGATCTCAACTTTTTGAAATTTTCTCACAAATTTTTCTTTCTTTGATTTGGTTTTGAAGGAGAGAAAGTGAACGAAGTTCCTATTATACGGATTTATGGTTCAACTCCTGCTGGTCAGAAGACTTGTTTACATGTTCATAGGGTTAGTGTTTTTGTTTATTTTTTCTACTTGTTTACTTCAATTCAAAGGTGTTTTAGGTGTTTTTTTTTTAACTGTTTTTCTGTATTGGTTTATGTAGGCTTTACCTTATCTTTACGTGCCGTGTTCGAAGACAATACAAACTTCAGAAGAAGGTAAACTCAAAGTGCTGCCTTTGATTATATGACTATATACTGTTATAAAAACTAGCAAGTTCACTATAGTTTTTGTTCTATAGGTGATAGTTACACGCGTGAAATGTCCATTGCAATTGAGAAGGCATTGAATTCAAAGGTATGATTTGTGAAATTTTAATGTTTTTAATTTGATTGGTTGTTTCATGTAGTAGTTCAGTTGAAATAATGATGCACATGTTATTGATCATTTTAAATGTGATATCGGTGTTTTGTGATGTATAGATGAAATCTGCTACTGGTTCCAAACGACAACATGTGCATGGATGTAGCCTTGTACGGGCAAGGAAGTTCTACGGCTTTCATCCTTCAGAGGAGTTATTTGTAATGATATATTTGTATCCATGATCTTTCTTGCAAATTAATGTTCAGGGCATGTTTTTTATCATTTTTGGTTTGCGAGTTGGTAGGGAAAACTGGTTGATTTTATGTGTGTATTATACGACAGTCTGTATATCAATATATTGACATGATGTGTATTGTTTACCACTGTTTTACTCCATTACGGACTTGCCACCCTTAAGGTTTCATGCGTAACTTGAGCTTAAGTTTTTGATATAAAACTTGGGTGCAGGTTATAGTGTACCCTTAGGCATGCTGATTATTCAGTGTTCATGACCCTTACTAGAGAGGAACTGAGGATACTTCACCGATGCCAACAAAGATATTACTTGCAGCTTTTAAAATTTTTAGTTTACTAGCTTCCTGTGTTCATGCTTACAACAATATTTGCTTTCAGCTTCTTAATCAACGTTCTTTTCTTTTGAAAGGTGATTCATTGTGGTAAAGAACTAGCAATACTTTCTTAAATTTGTTAAAATGAGGTGATTATTATTTTATTATGTTAGAAGGACGAGCATATCTGTATATCTATTATACGCTTAATCTTTCACCGTTGATGATCTAACAAAACACCTTAACATAAATTATAGATATTATCCGCATGAAGTTGCTCGTGTGGCCACTCTACTGCTGGTATGGTATTCATTTTGGTTTCTTTGACTGCAGGTTGTTTATTATGCTGTTATCCATTTCTTTTGCTTAGAAAGAGCTTTTGTGTCTAGCTTGACTTTTTTCTTTGGGATGCATTAATTTGGTTTTCAGAACTAAGAGTGTTGCTTAAGGATAAGTGGTAGATTAATAGTCAACTGTGCATGGCTAGGAGAGAAGTTACTCTCTTGTTTTTGAATATAAATTACCACTTTTTTTT